CACACTCTCTCTCTCTCTCGCTCTCTCTCTCTCTCTCTCTCTCTCACACACACACACACTCGCTCGCTCTCTCTCTCTCACACACACACACTCTCTCGCTCTCTCTCACACACACACTCTCTCGCTCTCTCTCGCTCACACACACCCTCTCTCGCTCTCTCTCGCTCACACACACCCTCTCTCGCTCTCTCTCGCTCACACACACCCTCTCTCGCTCTCTCTCGCTCACACACACCCTCTCTCGCTCTCTCTCGCTCACACACACCCTCTCTCGCTCTCTCTCGCTCACACACACCCTCTCTCGCTCTCTCTCGCTCACACACACCCTCTCTCGCTCTCTCTCGCTCACACACACCCTCTCTCGCTCTCTCTCGCTCACACACACCCTCTCTCGCTCTCTCTCGCTCACACACACCCTCTCTCGCTCTCTCTCGCTCACACACACCCTCTCTCGCTCTCTCTCGCTCACACACACCCTCTCTCGCTCTCTCTCGCTCACACACACCCTCTCTCGCTCTCTCTCGCTCACACACACCCTCTCTCGCTCTCTCTCGCTCACACACACCCTCTCTCGCTCTCTCTCGCTCACACACACCCTCTCTCGCTCTCTCTCGCTCACACACACCCTCTCTCGCTCTCTCTCGCTCACACACACCCTCTCTCGCTCTCTCTCGCTCACACACACCCTCTCTCGCTCTCTCTCGCTCACACACACCCTCTCTCGCTCTCTCTCGCTCACACACACCCTCTCTCGCTCTCTCTCGCTCACACACACCCTCTCTCGCTCTCTCTCGCTCACACACACCCTCTCTCGCTCTCTCTCGCTCACACACACCCTCTCTCGCTCTCTCTCGCTCACACACACCCTCTCTCGCTCTCTCTCGCTCACACACACCCTCTCTCGCTCTCTCTCGCTCACACACACCCTCTCTCGCTCTCTCTCGCTCACACACACCCTCTCTCGCTCTCTCTCGCTCACACACACCCTCTCTCGCTCTCTCTCGCTCACACACACCCTCTCTCGCTCTCTCTCGCTCACACACACCCTCTCTCGCTCTCTCTCGCTCACACACACCCTCTCTCGCTCTCTCTCGCTCACACACACCCTCTCTCGCTCTCTCTCGCTCACACACACCCTCTCTCGCTCTCTCTCGCTCACACACACCCTCTCTCGCTCTCTCTCGCTCACACACACCCTCTCTCGCTCTCTCTCGCTCACACACACCCTCTCTCGCTCTCTCTCGCTCACACACACCCTCTCTCGCTCTCTCTCGCTCACACACACCCTCTCTCGCTCTCTCTCGCTCACACACACCCTCTCTCGCTCTCTCTCGCTCACACACACCCTCTCTCGCTCTCTCTCGCTCACACACACCCTCTCTCGCTCTCTCTCGCTCACACACACCCTCTCTCGCTCTCTCTCGCTCACACACACCCTCTCTCGCTCTCTCTCGCTCACACACACCCTCTCTCGCTCTCTCTCGCTCACACACACCCTCTCTCGCTCTCTCTCGCTCACACACACCCTCTCTCGCTCTCTCTCGCTCACACACACCCTCTCTCGCTCTCTCTCGCTCACACACACCCTCTCTCGCTCTCTCTCGCTCACACACACCCTCTCTCGCTCTCTCTCGCTCACACACACCCTCTCTCGCTCTCTCTCGCTCACACACACCCTCTCTCGCTCTCTCTCGCTCACACACACCCTCTCTCGCTCTCTCTCGCTCACACACACCCTCTCTCGCTCTCTCTCGCTCACACACACCCTCTCTCGCTCTCTCTCGCTCACACACACCCTCTCTCGCTCTCTCTCGCTCACACACACCCTCTCTCGCTCTCTCTCGCTCACACACACCCTCTCTCGCTCTCTCTCGCTCACACACACCCTCTCTCGCTCTCTCTCGCTCACACACACCCTCTCTCGCTCTCTCTCGCTCACACACACCCTCTCTCGCTCTCTCTCGCTCACACACACCCTCTCTCGCTCTCTCTCGCTCACACACACCCTCTCTCGCTCTCTCTCGCTCACACACACCCTCTCTCGCTCTCTCTCGCTCACACACACCCTCTCTCGCTCTCTCTCGCTCACACACACCCTCTCTCGCTCTCTCTCGCTCACACACACCCTCTCTCGCTCTCTCTCGCTCACACACACCCTCTCTCGCTCTCTCTCGCTCACACACACCCTCTCTCGCTCTCTCTCGCTCACACACACCCTCTCTCGCTCTCTCTCGCTCACACACACCCTCTCTCGCTCTCTCTCGCTCACACACACCCTCTCTCGCTCTCTCTCGCTCACACACACCCTCTCTCGCTCTCTCTCGCTCACACACACCCTCTCTCGCTCTCTCTCGCTCACACACACCCTCTCTCGCTCTCTCTCGCTCACACACACCCTCTCTCGCTCTCTCTCGCTCACACACACCCTCTCTCGCTCTCTCTCGCTCACACACACCCTCTCTCGCTCTCTCTCGCTCACACACACCCTCTCTCGCTCTCTCTCGCTCACACACACCCTCTCTCGCTCTCTCTCGCTCACACACACCCTCTCTCGCTCTCTCTCGCTCACACACACCCTCTCTCGCTCTCTCTCGCTCACACACACCCTCTCTCGCTCTCTCTCGCTCACACACACCCTCTCTCGCTCTCTCTCGCTCACACACACCCTCTCTCGCTCTCTCTCGCTCACACACACCCTCTCTCGCTCTCTCTCGCTCACACACACCCTCTCTCGCTCTCTCTCGCTCACACACACCCTCTCTCGCTCTCTCTCGCTCACACACACCCTCTCTCGCTCTCTCTCGCTCACACACACCCTCTCTCGCTCTCTCTCGCTCACACACACCCTCTCTCGCTCTCTCTCGCTCACACACACCCTCTCTCGCTCTCTCTCGCTCACACACACCCTCTCTCGCTCTCTCTCGCTCACACACACCCTCTCTCGCTCTCTCTCGCTCACACACACCCTCTCTCGCTCTCTCTCGCTCACACACACCCTCTCTCGCTCTCTCTCGCTCACACACACCCTCTCTCGCTCTCTCTCGCTCACACACACCCTCTCTCGCTCTCTCTCGCTCACACACACCCTCTCTCGCTCTCTCTCGCTCACACACACCCTCTCTCGCTCTCTCTCGCTCACACACACCCTCTCTCGCTCTCTCTCGCTCACACACACCCTCTCTCGCTCTCTCTCGCTCACACACACCCTCTCTCGCTCTCTCTCGCTCACACACACCCTCTCTCGCTCTCTCTCGCTCACACACACCCTCTCTCGCTCTCTCTCGCTCACACACACCCTCTCTCGCTCTCTCTCGCTCACACACACACTCTCTCTCACACACACACACTCACTCTCTCTCTCTCTCTCACACACACTATCTCTCACACACACACACGGCGCCCGATCCGAAGTCCCTGTAACCATAACAACAGTCTCTCTATAAAGCTGAGGAGCTGAGGGAATGTCGGGAGCGCGCATGTGACGGTAATGATGTCTTAATTAACATGAATAATGAGAGTTTGGCTGGCGCGCTGTTTGTTGTTGAAGCGCCGAAACAGAACGAGGTGGACGAGAAGCCTGGAGTGCCTTCATCATCATCATCATCATCAAACACACACGACTGATGAGTGAACACACAAACACACAAGCGTCAGCCTCGCGCAGCTGCTCCGATCACTCGACGCGAATCCGGTTTCGAGTGATATACGTTCCTGAATATATTTTACAACTTTTCATATGAAACTACGAATGTTTATCGGGATCGAGTAACAGAGTTTAATTCAACTCACTCGCGTTGCTGGACGCGCCGCCGAAGTTGAACGCCATGTTTCCGGTCCTGCCGCGATACAGTCCGACCGGAAACAGTTACTACGAACAAGTGGTTCCTACGTGCAGCTCATGTCACACACTCCTCCTATACATGAAATAAATCACTATGACTGAGAAATAAAGCCTCACCAAGCCTTTACTTTACTACCAAACTACTGCAGGAAGATCTCAATAAAACCTCTGTGAACTGATGTCAATGTGTTTGCCGCCATGTTTGTTCTAGTAAAAAGCAACTACTAGTAAAGAAAACTAACCGCCCCATATTTAACTCATCACCATTTAAACACGTCAAAGTTTTAATACTTGAAACGGTCGTCATTGATAATCCTGTGTATTTTCTACAAACCTTAACAAGCAAATCAAAATCAACACGTCTTTGAACATTAATAAAAAGTTTATTAAAATTGCACTGCATTACAAAAGAAGCAGAAACACAACAGCCGAGCTGCTCCTCGACCTGAACAACAACAGAAACACTTTGTTCAGGAAGCAGAACCTCTGATCTGGGATCAGATCTCATTATAATATCGATGCAGACCTGTGGTGACAGGGACGTTTTATGAGTGAACACCACAGGTTATGGCAGGCCTTTGCGCTTCATCTGTGTGAGTCTGAGCTGCTTCTGTGTGTCTGTGGCCTCGGCTGGAGTCCAGAACACCTCCTGCTGCTCTCTGCGCTTCTCGTTCTGTCTGATCATCCGCCGGCGCTGAACAAACAAACACACATCATCAAGTGAAGGAGAGCCTGATAAACAGCGTTCTCACCGTGTTGGGCGGCTCAAAGTGAGGACTCTCATACAGTGTGGGTCCGCCGAAGCTGCCCTGGAATATTCTGATGAGATTCAAGACGAAACGAGGGCCGATCTCCACCAGAGATGCGTCTTCTTCCATGATCTGTGGAGACAACAGAGCCAGCCGTTCACAGAGCAGCGCTCGAGTGAAGGACGCCACAGCGGTGCGCTTCTCTCGCCTGATAGCTCCTGAGCCAGATCCTGCCGTCTGCGACCGTGAACGAGAGCACGTGATCCACCAACGGCTGGCTCTCCGGGTGACATCACTCAACACATGTTCAGTAGCTTGAGCAGTGTGCGGAAACAGAAGCTAAACCTGCAGAAAGAATCACATCAGTGTCTGTGTTATTCTGATTCTCAGCACCAGTGATCTTTAATAATGAAGCGTGAGCAATGAAAGAGAATCAAACACAGCGGGCTGAGAATGCATTACTACATCTGTGTCCCTGGAGCACAAAACCAGTCATAAGGGTCAATATTTAGAAATTGAGGTTTATACATCATCTGAAAATATTTGGCTGAGATTAGGGCTGCACGATTAATCGCATGCGATATTTAACGCGCATCTTGTCAGAAAGCCGGTTCTGTAATCAGCAGTAAATCTCCATCACGTGTGTGCTTTCACATTGAGCAGCATTAACTACACAGAGCCGTTGTTCACTGGTGAGCAGCGCAAAAAATCGTGCGAATATGAACGTGGTTTAGCGCAGCTCGTCGGTTAAATATCGCATGCGATTAATCGTGCAGCCCTAGCTGAGATACAACTATTTGAAAATCTGGTATTTGAGGTTTGCAAAAAAATCGAAATATTGAGAAAATCATCTTTAAAGTTAAAGAGTTTAGTGTACGATGAAAACATTCGGTCATTTTCAGAACTCAAAACTTTCTCCTCAGTCCAAACAGAGTCTATAAACGGCAAAAACAGCCAGTGCAGAACTCATAATTACTGACATTACAGCCATGAGCTCATTAACATAATCATGCAGCAAGCTGAGCCAATCATAACAGAGCTCATTAACACACACACACACACACACACAGACACACACATTCACTCACTCTCACACACAGACAGACACACTCACTCTCACACACAGACAGACACACTCACTCTCACACACAGACAGACACACTCACTCTCACACACAGACAGACACACTCACTCTCACACACAGACAGACACACTCACTCTCACACACAGACAGACACACTCACTCTCACACACAGACAGACACACTCACTCTCACACACAGACAGACACACTCACACGCACAGACACTCACTCTCACACTCACTCACTCTCACAGACACACACATTCACTCACTCTCACACACACACTCACTCACTCTCACACACAGACAGACACACTCACACGCACAGACACTCACTCTCACACTCACTCACTCTCACAGACACACACATTCACTCACTCTCACACACACAGACAGACACACTCACACGCTCACTCACTCTCACACACACTCTCACTCACTCTCACACAGACACACACTCACTCGCACTCACACTCTCACTCACTCTCACACACAGACACACACTCACACACATTCACACACACACACTCTGACACACACTCACACACACACTCACACACACACACTCACAC